TTTTTATTTTGTTTTTGCCCACCCACCCCCACACCATCTTTAATTATTTATAAATCAGATTTCGAAAATTGTAATTGTTTTCCTGGTTTTTTGGTTTTTTTTTTTTTTTTTATATATATTATTTTTTGTTTAAGAAATTTAAAATAATATTATAATTTTTTTTTTTTATAATAAATAAAGATTAATATATTAATATATTAATTTTAGAATTTTAGAGGTGTTTTATTTGTATCAGGACCTCAAAGATGTGGTAAATCAGTAACAGTTAGACATATATTAGAAAGAAACAATTGTACTTTTTATGAAGCTGACTGCAGTGGACATAGTAGTAGATCATTATTAAGAGCATTATCATCATCAGGACGAAAAAATCAAGAATACGATACAAATGAGGATGAAAATATAGAAGATTCTTTCAATTCATTAATATCTGAAAATAAAAAGCTTTCAAGAAAAATTGCCAATGAACAAGTAACAATTTTAGATATTATTAAAGAATTATATAAAAATCAATCAACTAATAAAACATTATATATTGTAAGTAGAAGAATATTTATATTAAATTTTACATTTATAAACCTTATATTAATATTGTATCAATTTCTATACAGATTTTAAAACATTCAGAGCAATTACTCAAAATAGATAAAGATTTTTTTTACTCTTTATTCAAGATTAGAGATTATTCAGAGTATCCAGTTTGTATTTATTTATTGACATCGACTATAAAAGAAAGAATAATATCACCAATACGAGAGTACAGCCAAATTAGAAGCATCTTTTTAAACGAATACACCAAACTAGAACTCATAATGATCCTCTCCACATTTTTTCCAAACTTTGATCCAGTTCTCCCAATAGAGATTCAAAAGGAGCTGTGTACTAAATTAATAACATTAATAGTCGATATATTTTATTCATCAACTCGTGATATTCACCATATACTATATGTTTATTTAAATTCATACCAAAATTTTATAACCCCAGTAAAAGTTAAATATTTAAAAAACAATAATAATAATAATAGTAATGATAATAAAAATACAGGATAGTAATGATGATAATAATTATAATAATAATAATAATAATAATAATAATAATAATAATAATAATAATAATAATAATAATAATAATAATAATAATAATAATAGTAATAATAATGATAATAAAAATACAGATAGTAATGATAATAATATTGATTTAAATAAATTATCATTTAATAGCGATAGTAGTGATAATGATAATGATAATAATAATGATAAAAATAATAATAATAATGATAATAATAATAATAATAATGATAATAATAATAATAATAATGATAATAATAATAGTGATAATAATATAGAAAATAGTAGTACAGATATTAATAACTATATAGATAATTCAGAATTATACAGAAATATAAAATCAACTATTTTAACATTTCTAAAGAATTTTAACGAAAGAGTCAAGGATGAAGAAAAAAATGAAAATATAACAAATATCAATATTATGGGATTTTATGATTTATCATATCATACCAAAATAATTTTAGTATCAAGTTTTTTAGCATCATCATTTCCTTCAAGTAGAGATAAATTATTATACACCAAAGACAATGTTAAAAGAGTTTTAAGATCTCAAGAAAAAGCAACATCTCCAAAATGGTTCAATTTTCAAAGAGCAAAAAAAATTTGTTCTCAATTATTCGATGTCAAAGAATCTAGCATTTGTGATAGTGTTTTTGCAACACTAGTAAGTTTAAAATATTTAGATGTGCCAAAATCCCTCGAAAACACCATTCCAAATAGTTATAGATGTACAAATAAAGTTCATATCGATTTTATTAAACAGATTTCCAAATCAATTTCATTTAATATCGAATCACATATAGAAGTAAGTTTATTTTCTAAATAAATAAATTAATAAAAAAAGTGCATGCAAATAAATAATTATAATAATCGATTATATTATTTTATATTTCCAAATAAACTTTTATTCGAGGAAAAAAAAAAAAAAAAAATTTTTAAATTTTATTTTTATTTTTTAATTTAAATTTTTTTATTTATTAAAAATTATTTTTTTTTAAAAAATATATTGTCATTGTTGTTTTTTTTTTATTTTGTTAAATGAATTATACAAATAATTATAATTATTATACATGTAAATAATTATAATGGAAAAAAATCACAATAATAATATTGATGATGCAATACACCTAGATGAAGATGATATAATTCAAAATGACTATTCGTTCATACCAAAATCAAATAACAAACTATCAACATTATCAACTATAAATATAAACCCGGTACAATCAAATAAACCAAATGCAAATACAACTACCACTACAACCACAACAACTGCTACAATAACAAATACCAATATAACTCAAAATCATTTAAAACCACCACCTTTAAAAAGATCATTAAGTAAAGTTAATGAATCGAATAATGATCAAAATAAAAAAAATAAATATTCATCTTTAGTAAATGAAATGCTGGATGATATTATACCGTTTGAAGAAGCAATCGAATTAATTCAAAAAAGTTTAGAACAAAAATATGCAAACAAGACAATAGTATCTTCACCTCAAGAAATTGAATATAATAAAGAAAATTTAAACGAACAGCAACTAGATATATTAGATAATATAGTTTATAGAGGAAACAATGTATTTTTTACAGGTCCTGGAGGTACTGGTAAATCTTATTTGTTACATGTTTTAATCAAAGAGTTAAACGAAAATAAAAAGACTGTTTTTTCAACAGCCACAACAGGTATTGCAGCATTAAATATTGGTGGAACAACAATCAACTCCTTTGCAGGTATTCGTTTGGGAAATGAACCATTTAAAAATCTTTTCGAAAAAGCATATAGCAAAAAACAAAACTGGAAAAGTTGTGATGTTTTAATAATTGATGAGGTATCAATGCTAGATGGTGTACTATTTGACAATTTAGAAAAGATAGCTAGACTGATACGTTTAAAATCAAATATTAAATATGGTTACAAGAAAAAAGACTTATACCCAAATCCCTTTAAACTACCTTGGGGTGGCATTCAAATAGTATTATCTGGTGATTTTTATCAACTGCCACCTGTGCCATCTCTTCATAGCGATCCAAGCTGTCCCTCCATAGATGATGACCATTCATTAGTTAAAAAAAGAAAGCATTGTTTTGAAGCAGAGTCTTGGTCTAGTTCAATTGATGTGTGCATACCCCTAACTCAAATTTTCCGTCAAAAAGATGATTTTTTTTCAAATATGCTTTCAAGAATAAGAATAGGTGATATAGATGAAGGAATTATTTCAGAATTACGTAAATGTGTTAAACCAATTACAACCGAGGGTGGAATTGTTCCTACAATACTTTACACAACAAATGAAAAAGTAGAGGAACAAAATCAACATCATCTCTATCAGATTAAAAAAGAATCATTCGAATTTAAAGCTTTAGAGAAATCAGCAGGCGCAGAACTTTCAGATCCCAAAAAGATTGCAAGACTAGCTTCAATTTTTGAAAATTCCAGAAAAATCATGTTTAGCAGCTCAAAGATTAACTCTAAAGGTTGGTGCTCAAGTAATGTTAGTAAGAAATTTATCTCTCACTCTGGTCAATGGGTCACGTGGTGTCGTTATTGGTTTTTTCAATCTATCAACCGAAGAACAATTCAAATATACAGAATTTCTTCACACACTTACATTTATGGATCAGAGACAAAAAGAAAAAGCAATCGATCAAATCAAAGCCTCTGCAAGCTATATTAACTCTCAAAATGACAAATGCTTACCCATTGTTAGATTTATAAATGGGGAAATCGAAGTTATTAAACCAGAAACCTACAGTGTATTTTTCGAAAATGCTGAACGTTGCTATCGTGTTCAAATTCCATTAAAATTAGCATGGGCCGTAACATTTCACAAAATTCAAGGTATAACATTAGATTGCGCTCAAATTTCACTCAATAAAATTTTTGAACATGGTCAAAGTTATGTTGCACTCTCAAGAATCAAATCGTTGTCTGGTTTACAAATTTTAGGTGACATTACAAGAAAATGTTTTAAAGTTGAAGAAAAAGTTAAAAATTTTTATAAAGGTTTAACAGGAAAAATTGACTACACACAAAATAGACAAAACAATAATTGCGAAAATAGGAAACTTTCAAATATTGAAAAAATTGAAGATTTTATTCAGGGATTAGATGAAAAAGATATTAGGAAATATAATGATGAAGTTAGAAAAGAAAAAGAAATTGAAAAAGAAAAACAAATTCAAAAAGAAATAGAAATTGAAAAAGAAAAGGAACTTTTAAAAAACAAAAATAACAGTACCAATAACAAAAATAATGTAAATAGCAATAATAGTAATGTAAATATTAATAGTAATAATAATAATAATAATAATAATAATAATAATAATAATAATAATAATAATAATAATAATAATAATAATAATAATAATAACAATAATAATAATAATAATAATAGTAATAATAATAATAATAATAACAATAATAATAATAATAATATAAAAAATATAATCAATACAAATAATACAAATAACGATAATAGTTTAATATTTGATAATAATATACCTGTATTTTTCCTTTGTCCCATCACTCATAAAATTATGGAAAATCCTGTTGTTGCACCAGATGGTTATTCTTTCGAGAAAAATGCAATAATAAATTGGGTAAAGTCTAGAAATGTTTCTTATGTTACGAGAAAACCTTTCTCTCAAAATATATTTATACCAAATAGAAATTTAAAAGCCCAAATCCAAGAATGGAGGAAACAAAATAACAATAATTAAATCCCTAAGCAAATGTAAAGAAAATTAGTAAATAAAGTTTAGTTTTTTTTTTTTTTTTTTTTTTAATAAAATCTTTTTTTATTTATTTATTTGTAGTAAAAAATTTGAAGACAAATTAAAACATCGATTAAAAGTTGAACAGCCCCCCAAAAAATAAATTGAGCTGGTTGTGACTTAAAAATAAAGTATAAAGTTTTGAATAAATCACCAATAAACCAAGTTCCAATTAAAACAAAACTAATGTGAAAAAAAAAAAAAGTTAGTGGAATGGCTATAAATAAAATATAATGATTTAAATTATATTTACCTTAATCCTTTAGTTGATCTTTTCTTATAGTTTTGGATTAATTGTGGTAAACCAAGAATAGACTCGATGGTTAATGAAAGAGTACCCAACAATTCGAAATAAGCTGGATAATAAAAATAAATAGTTGTTAAAAGTAAAAAGAAACATGAATATCCAAGAAGGAAAAATAAGTATTCTATAAAAGAATCCCATTCCCAAAACTTATGGAAATAACCTGTATTATAAAATAAAAAAGTATGATTATCATTAAAATTTGATTCGCTGGAATTATTATTAATATTATTATTATCATTATTATTATCAATATTTATTATTAAATTGGCAGAGCTATGATTGTCATCGCTATCTATATAACTATCATAATCACTATTACTATTTACACTATTATTATTAATTTTAAATTTATTTATTAATTCTATATTATTATTATTATTATTATAATTGTCATTGTCATTGTCATTGTCGTTATAATCTATTATTTTATCGTCAAGATTTGTATCTAAAACTAAAAGCTGATTATCTTCGATTAACGGTGGAGTTGAAATATCCGATGTAATATTGATCTCATCGTCATCATTATTAATATTATTAATACTATTGTTATTACTATTGTTATTACTATTATTACTATTTAATTTATTTGATTTCTATATAATTATAATATATTATAATAAAAAAAAGGTTTTAGAATAAGTACTTGAAACATTTTGTGTTTTAAATCTTCTGGATTTTGAATTTGTTACAGATTCTCTAGATTTTATGGAAACAGTTAAATGGAGCATTATTAGTTGAGCAATGATCATAACTATGGCTTGATATAATAATGAAACATCAAATTGTTTTCCAATCCAAAAGTAGCAACGTAAAATGTTTGATAATAATAAAATTAAACAAACTCTGTTGCTGAATCCTTCACAATTGGATGTCTTTTTAATGTCTCTATATTGAAATACATAGCCAATTACTGGGGCAAATATAAATAAAGCTGATGTTATAAAATCAGCCATTTTTGGTATAACGAATTTTATATTTAAATATTAATATGGCAATATATAAAATTAAAAAAAAAAAAAGAAAAAAAGAAAAAAAAAGAAAAATTTTAAAAAAGTAAATTTTTAAAAAATAAAATTAAAAAAAATAAAAAAAAAATAAAATTTGAAAAAATAAAAAAAAAGGGTATCGATGTAAAAGATAGATAGTTTTTTAATAATTTAAATTAAATAAATAAATAAATAAAATTTTTTTTTATTTGTTTTGTTTTTTATTTGTTTTTGTTTGTTTTGGTTTTGGATCGATAAAAAAAATAATAACTAATAAATACTATTAATTATTAACTGAAAAAAATATATATATATTATTTTTATAGCGCAAGGGAAAATATTTGTTAAATAAAATTGTAAAATTTAATTCTACATATAGGGGAATGGATATCTAAATTCCAATTTAATGGGTTCATATTGTGGTTTGTCAAATCTTTTGAATGCATTTTCCTTCATTTTATTTGAACCGCTGTTATTACTATTTACAGATAGAGGCTTTCTATTAATTAATTTATTAAAGTCTAAAAAAAAAAAATTAATATGAAAAATTATATTTTTAAAAATGTGTAGTGGATGTTCATACATGAAACTAGTTTTTGATGTTTCATTTTTTTATTGTAAAAAAATTTAAATATATTATTTTTGAAAATTATTATTAGAATGATTTAGAAAAATAAAAAAATTATAATTAGAATAAATATGTTAGTTTATTTGTTTATGTATTAAATTGTTGTTATTTTTATAAATAATGTTAATTTGATTAATAATGTTTTTTTTTAAAAAAAAAAATTTCGTTTAAATGCTTTTTTTTTAAATAATATATAAAAAAAATTTAATATATTTATATGTAATAATGTACATAAGTGATGCACACACACCATTTTTTGTTAGAGGTATCGATTCAAATAAAATTTTTATAATATTATGGAAATGTTTTTAAAAAATTTAATAAAAAAAAATAAAATTTACTCTCTATCATAATCTACTATATCTCAATAGATTAAAAAAGAAACAACTCATTATGGACATCGATAAAAAAGGATTTCTTTTATGAATATTTAAGTAATAGTATAATAATTCCTATTTTTAACATTTTAAAACATATTTAAATTTTTTTTTAACACACCACATTTTATCAAAACCAATCAAATGAAATTTGTGCATAACACAAAATGGTGAGTAAAATGAGAAATTTAAATGAAAATATTATTATTTTATATGCATTGTTTTTTATCATTAGTTTTTTTTTTAAAATTTTATTTTGATAACTCAAGAAAATTCATTTTCTAAAAAAATGATTATAATATTTTATATAAATATTGTTTTTATTATAATAAATGATTTAAACAATTAAAAAATGTGTGTGGTGGGGGGGAAATTTTTTTATTTTTTTCACAATAAAAATAATAAAAATTGGAACAATAAAAAAAAAAAGTTTATATTTTCCAAAAAAAAAAAACTATATTGAAATATAATAAAAGGAAAAATTTTGTAAGTTAACTATATTAGTATAGGTATATATTTCTTTAATTTTATAATTTTTTAAATATAAATATTTTTCTTAATAGTTTAACAAATTCTTAAAAGGATGTACAACCATGTTCCCTAAAATAAAAGGTTATCACTGAAATTCGTAAAACTAAATTAATTATATTATTGGCTCAGAAATTAAATCCCCTCCATTCGAAGAAAAAATCCACATTTTTGTGGTATAATCAAATACCATTTCTCCAAAAAATAATTTTTTGAAAAATTAATATTAAAAAAAAAAAAAAAAAAAAAATAAAGAAAAATAATAATCCCCTTGTGTATTTATATGTTTTAATTAAAAAAAAAAAAAAAGAGTATTTAATTTAATTTTATTTATTATATATTAAAATATATAATTTAAAATGATTCGGTATTATAAAAAAAAAGGAAAACTATTATTATTTTTCCTATAATATTACAGCTATATTGTTAATATTATTACTATTGTTTTTATATGAAAGATATAAATTTATATACATGCTATTATTGCTATTGATTATATATATTAAAAACTATTATTTTTACTATTTTTACTATTATTACTATTATTACTATTATTACATTATTATTAAAAAGAGTTAATTAATTTACATGAACCTCTACAAATAAAATTATTAGTTGATTTGGGTTTCCATGATGGTGGGGTTGATTTTAAATTTTCCCAATCTATATCATTAAAATAAGGATGAGTCTTTATATCCTTTGAACCGATTCTGGTGGCAGGATTTGGATCTAATAATTTAGTTATTAAATCATTAGCATCTTTAGGGATGATAACTTCTTCAGTATTTCTTGAAAGTATACTATCGAATATTTCTTCTGGTGTATCACCAATGAATGGAGTTGAACCTGTTATTAATTCGAATAATACAACACCTAAAGCCCAAAAATCTACAGCTGGACTTTGTGGTTCAAATAATAACACTTCTGGAGAAATGTATCTTGGGGAGCCTAATATTCCATTGGTGGAGGTAGGTTTCTTTTGATTAAATTTCTTTGAGCTTCCAAAATCTAATAGCTTTATATGACCTTCTTTATCTATTGCCATATTGTTTGGTTTAATATCGCCATGTACAATAGAATTGTTATGAATGTACTCTAAACATAAAACGGTTTCGGCAATATATTGTTTGGCAATATCTTCAGGGAAAGCACCAGCATCTTCAAGGTGATATGAGCAATCACCGCCTTCTAAATACTCCATCTCGATCAATATCTTTTCTTTGCATGGGGATAAAAAAGTGTGAAATATATTTACAGTGAATTGTTTATCTTTTTTTCCCAATTCTATTAGAGTATTGATTTCTTTTAAAGCTAAATGGTCCCTTTTGATTGTTTTAATAGCACATATATTTTGAGTTGATTTATTTATAAATTTACATACTACACCATAACCACCTTTACCTATACATTCGATATGTTTATAGTCGTTGATGGTATGAGTTTTCTTGCAACATAAACAACGTTCCCATTCTTTATCCGGTATTATTTGGCCATCAATTGTGTCATTATCCATTGTTTCCCTATTGATTTCTTTTAGCATTAAACAGAGGTTTTCATGGGATTTGGAGAATATATTTACAAGATCGTTATATTTATCTGGACCAACTTGATTTAGTATTATTTCGCTTTCTTCAAAATCATCGGATAGTTTAAATAATTCTAATGAGTCGATACATGAATTGTCCACATCTGATTCTGATGATGAAGACGATGAAGATCCTGATGATAAATTTGATAAATAGGAAGAGGATGATATATTTAATAATGGTGATAAAGTGTGATTATTTGGGTTATTTATAAACATATTTGATTTTAAAATATTTTTATTATTACTACTAACTTCATCATCTGATGATGAAAAACTATTTTGTAAATAATCCATTGAAACTGATGGTGATCTTATTCTCTTACTTCTGAAAATTGTAAATAATTTTGAAAAACTTGGATATACAATCTTTAACATTCGCATTATCTTTAATATTTTAATTTCATCATCTCTGAAATCATTTGGTATTTTACTGATCCTATCCATAATTCCATCAACCTCTGATGGTGAATAGGATTTTTCTTCTAACATTTTTTTAATTTTTTCCATTTTTTTATTTATATGTATTTTGAAAATAGATTGATTATTTTATTATTTATTATTATTATTATTTATATTTTATATTTATTATTTAAAATTTTAATTTTACAATTTCTATATTTATTAAATGAAAATTATTAATATTTAAATATTAATTATTAAAAAAAAAAAAAATTTAAATAATAAAAAAAAAAAAAATTATTTGATA